CCGCCACCGCCTCCCTTTCGGCCGCCACCCGAGCGGGTCCCCGGCGCCGGGCCAGACGGCGCGGCGCGGCGGTGCGCGGGGTGGAGCGAAGTGGAGTGGCGAGAGGACACGATGAACCTATGCTCTCGCCTTTCTCATGTGATGTAAAGAAATAGCGTAAGGTATCGCGCGGAAAAAGCGCCGCTTTGCTATATATAAACTCTCACTCACGCACGCTTGATGGCGCTACACGTCGAACGTCCTCTGTTTTTGATATTTTTTTAAATTTTATTTTATGTCGGAAACAGTTAAAAACTGTTTAAAACATGCTACGGGGAAAAGTGTATTTTATGCACGTTTTCGTGGCACCATATACATGTTCAATTCAAATATAGAAAGGAATAAGCGTTTTTGCAAAAATTGTTAACAAAATATTCGTTCCGATGTAATAAAATATATTTTCTAAAAGTAAGTCAGCGATATATATGGATTCTTATCCCTCATCATGTCCTTCCTGAAGGAATGTACTTCTACCGCGACAACATGGAGAACGATTTTGAATAAATATATTGCCCACTGAAGTCTAGAAGACGTGTACAGATAATGAAGTTACATTTAGGGAAACTGGACGACACATATAATCGAGATACAACTCACAATCAACATAACCAATGTAATCAATAGCAGATAAGTGTTCATTCTGTTAATTTTAATATTTTATTAACATTTTGTTAATACCGGCTAATAATAGCAACCAATAACCAATCTGTAAAACATTTAATTTAAGCTTCCACATACAAATCCCTATGTAACGCCGAATTCCAAGCAGGGTACACATGTACCACACTCGAATATTATTCAAGATTTCTTTGAAATGTGAAATAGCTAACTAAAATATTGCAGAATTTTATTATTTTGAGCAGTTTATACGTAATGAAAAACAAATTTAATAGAATTAAGTAACTTTATTTTTATGTTTCTCTTTTATTACACCAATACACTTCATCAAAATACTTCTTCAAGGTTGTTCATGTTTCAGGCAACTGATGCATATTTTTTATTGATTTTGTATCTGAATGTTCATTACATGTAATTGAAAAACACTTACTGCATCTCGTTCTACTCTTTGTATCTCTGTTTCTTATAATTAATAAGAAATAAAAAATGGTGACACGGATTACCAATCGGGGTACAAATGTACCCCAGTGTAGGTTTTAAGTACGAAACGTAAAACACCTTACCATATTACTTTCTTTAAGACCTAATTGTCAACAGAAGTATTTCGGACAATGTAACGAAATTTTAATATCACAAAATAAGCGGAACGTACACAATAAGTAAATATGTGAGATTGGTGTACACGTGTACTCGGCTTGGCGTGCGAAGATTAAAAGCAAAAATCACGAAATTTGGTGTAGTAGAAAACTGACGTATCTTTCTAGTCGAATAACACTTAAATATAAAGGTAACAGGAATTGAAGTTGTTCTCTACTGATTACATTGTGAATACTTGCTCTATCTAGCAAATTGTTCAAATGTATTTTCTAATCCACGAAAATATGACTTAATGACTACTTCCCGTTGACGTTTAAGTCATCAGTCATCCATATTTAACGAAAGATCTTTGTTAAACCAGTTCACCGTATGTTTAGCTTCTCCGTGCATTAGATTTGCAGAAACATTTTAGTTGTCACAGTATTAATCTTAGCTCTTATTTCTACTTACTCTTGGTTAGATTGTGGCCTGATTATATATCTTGCAAATCATTTAAATGTACTTAGTCTTAACTGAAACAGAATATACACAGCAATTCCGATAAAACTTACCCTCCTCTTTTCCTATAGAATTATCGGGTCATTCTAAAAATTGGAAGCACTTATTTAAATGCACGTTGTGCCACACATCTAGGGATCTCATATCGAATTTCCGTCAGTGCGATTCTGCTTGCGTGAGATTACAACGAAAACGTCATTAAATGGAGTAAATTTTAAATTAAAGATTCACTCTGAGCGCCGAATAACGTGGTCTCTCATGTGATGAACAGAGAATTTAACAACTGTAGAAACACGAAAAATTCATTTTGTCAAAAATAACGAGACTAAATTAAACTCTCGCGTTAGTAATCCACTAGAGTACATTTTTAATGTGAATACAATTTAATTTCTTTAATGTTAAATTTAAGTTTTATTATTTAAAAATTTTCTTTATTATCAGTAATATTCAAACTTGTGTATGCCGCTCTCTAGATGCCGAATGACAAATGAAAATAATTTTAACCAGATAATCGTATCTTCGTGATGTGGTAAGCCACTACAGGAAAACTAAAAAGGTTAATGTCTAGCAAATGTCAAAATATTCCTGAGCGGGATACGCTCAGGGGATTTTTTCCACAGACGTAAAGACATCCAAATTGTGACCATGTTACTGAGTAAAAAAGCATTTTCATGATTAAATTAGTTCAAAGAATTCGTTGCCCCGACTGGGATTCGAACTCGGGCTTTTACGACTGCGGAATATATTCTCCGTGCGTAATTACATCCAACAAGGTGTCGGAAATGGTCGGTCTGGGCAACCAATTCTTTGAACAAATTTAATTATTACATTAATTGATAACATTAAAGAGTATTGCAAGCACTGAATGACCATGACGAGAGTATTCTGGTACATCGTGAGGAGGGTAGGAAACCTATGATTTGCGGAGCCGACGCCTTAAAGCGAAAGCCGACTTCTATCACGGGGCTGATTTCCGTCTCGTAATGAAGGTATCGACCAGGATGCACGAAAGTTCTCGGAGTTCACCCATTCTCATTTGTCGTGTAGGGAAGAGGAGCGCAAAAGAACAGAGGAAATTACTTCAACAGTTTTGGTAGTTGCGGATGCTGCTGCTGATGGAGAAAATACGCCAAGTTCTGCTTTGGGACTTTAATGTTTTCAGTTGTTTTATAATTGAATAAAACATGTATTTATAGTTGTAGTTGGATGGCATCTTCTTCTTCAACTTTAATATGTCTTTAACAATTACCAGCACTTAACATTCTAGATTAATCTAATTGTGTCTGAAGAATGAAATACATTTATTGAGAATAGTCTCATTTTAATTGCAAAAATATATCAATAGTATGGGGAAAATACTGAGTGTTTGATCATGTGGAGTTTCTGTTACTGATATTATATGTACTTTTGATATTATGTGGATCTATTTCTCAACATTTCAATGTTGATATTTTGACCACAGGAGCAAACATTCAAAACGTGACACCTTCTCTTTCCTCCTTTTTCGACAAAAACGCAAAAATGTTATAGTATCAAAATTATGCAAATATTTTACTTGTACTCAACTCTTAATTGTGTAATAAGGATAGATAAATATATTGTTAATATTAGGCTCAAATATTTCATATTTGGCTCAGTTTTAGAGCTAGTTTCGCGACGGACATGACTCGTTTTGAATGACTACAAACGACATGACATGTTTTGATTGAAAGACAGATGGACAAGTCTTGATTTGAATGGAAAATAAATCCTTTTTATTGATATTCATAAATTTATAATGGGAAAATCAAACTTCTTTTTCTTGCTTATTTTTCGTGCATATTTTTGCACAAAAACATTATTTAAAAATTTAATAAAAATTAGTAGCGTTCTAGAGCCATAAAACTTGAAATTTTGTTATCAGAAACGTTTTACATACCGTAATCTACAGAATGAGATGTTCGACATTCTATTACATTTTCCTTCGTTCGGCGCTTATCGATACTGCCCAACACACGGTGACCGTCTTTGTTTGTGACGCCACGCTTTGAAGGGTTAGATGAAGGGTTAGACCTCCATCTTATGTTTACTCTTTCACACCGTGAAAATAGTAGTGTAATTATTTTTGGCTCAGAATTGCTTTTTTTGAGGTACGTAAGAACATGCACGGGTTTCGCTACATTATTTTTTTTATGAAGGCAAGGCTATTTTATGCAACTTTACACAAATCCATCGACACGTTTGAGGAAAAAAAAGTGCTCTCATTTTTCTTTTTTTATCAAACAATTATTTTTGACATATCTAAAAAATATGCCATGCTTCCTTACCTTAAGGTTTGAACGCTTCATGTTTCGTAATATATTTTCTTCCGTTTTCTCAAACGCTCGGTAATGTCACTAAGAAAAACCTTTATTTCTACCACTCAGAATTATTCGATGTGGGTTAATATTTTACTCTAACAGAACAGTAAATAACGGTACTGAAGGAAATGTTTCACAAACAGAAATTACACTTTCTGGTCTGTTTTGTGGTCAGCAGCTAACTGACTGATTCTCTGCGGCCGGGGAAAATTCGCAGACCCAATGACCCCCAAATCATAACGGAACACAAGGCAGGACGTCTGGACCAGTGCTTTCTGAAACCCAAGGTTTGGAAATGCCTTTCTTTTGATACAACAATTTTAATAATAGAAATAAAATATGCGTACGTTTCCTTCCAAATAAACGGTAAAATACTCCTCATTCGCTACCAATACAATAAAATCGTAAAGAGAGGGATGGTGGATGTCACGTTTTGAATGAAATACAAGTAAAACAGCAGTAGTGAGGGGACATGTCACGTTGTGAATGAAAATACTATGAAATTAATGCACACATTTCAAAGTGGACATGTCCTGGTATGTATGAAAACAATAGTTTAAATTAAATTCGTTAGGGGACATGTCGCGTTTTGTATGAAAATGAAGGACCGGGGATACAGCGCTAATCAAAATGAATACTAATCTTAGTATAATTCAATTTTGGTCAACGAAGGACATGTCTTGTTTTGAATGTTTGCTCCTGAGTTAACTACAAAAGTAGATCATAAGTGAAAATTATGTGTGGTTCTGAAAGATGGTGAAATTAATAATATAACATCAATTATGTGTAATTTTTTTATCTATTTATTCTCTTAAAATTATGTAATGAGTTGGCATGTGAAGAGATTGCTGAAAATATCCAAATAATGTTAAAAAACGAAATCTGTTTCCTATATTTCAGCCAATACATCAAGACGGATCATGTGGTTTTGCGTATCCTTGATGAGATTTCCAGTCGGCAGTAAATAAGGTAATATTGTATTATTGAAATATCCTTACAACGTAGTGATATTCATGTGTTTAGATTTGTAGAGATGTGTATAATAATTATTAATGGAGGAATTAGAATTAATTGATATGCAGATTGTAATAAACTTCAAATGCAAACGCGTGTATATTTTATAAAGAATATTTTTACTGATACAGTTAATAATGGGATTATCAGAACTCTTAAAATATGGTAATAAAATAATTTACGCACGAGGAAAATACCGCATATATAACTACTTACGTACCTCGTGCATTAATATAATTTTTAATTATTTACCAATACTAATCAATACGTGCCCCAATTAAAAAGCCAATAAATTATCGCCCACCCCAACATTATTTTCAAAGAGAAATGTTCAGCAATCTTTTGCGAACCACTGCATTCGCAACGGGCGATGTGGGCGGGCCTTCATTTCTCGGTCTAACGGGAAGCGTTACTTTCAAGGCCCCGAGGACGGTGACTGCCTGCAAATGAAGTCAGGTGGCGCGGCGGCGGGTGGGCGTGGGCGGTGGGCGGTGGGCGGGGGCGGCGAGCGGCCAGACTGCGCCGCGACGCCCCGTCACGCCTCGCGCCCCGAACTAATGGGCGGTGCGCAAATAAAGGGAGCGTTAATTGGCGGGAAAATGGAGGGCGCGGAGAAGGAGTTCGCCGAGGAGGAGGAAGAGGCACCTGCTTCACCGACAGGCAGGCGCCTCCGCCGACGGCCATCGACGAGGCGACGTTTTCCCCCGCTGGGGGCACTTTCCAATTGGCTTGTTGCACGGATGGACTGCGTGTCGGGCGACGGGTCAAATAGCTGTAGGAAAAAAATGATGCGGTTAGAAATTGATGGGGGCCGACCTGGATGGCCGAGGTGGCTAAGAGCGTGTGTAGACTCAGCGCTTCAGACCGAAAAGTTGCGAGTTACACTCCCACCTTTGTCATGGTTGTTTGTCCTTGTCTCTCATGTACGTTTTGTCGCAGTGAGCCTCGCGTTCTGCTGACCCCAGATCAGAAGAGACCTCAGACGTGTTGGTGTCTAGTGATGGTCCTAAATGCGTCCCATAAGGGTGTGAAGGGGCTGTCAACTGAAAAAAAAGACTTATGGAAGAAGAAGAAGAAGAAGAAGAAGATGAGTTTGATTGGGTCAATTGCATCATTCTCTGAACTTGAGACAAGGAGAGAGTCTAGAATACAACAAGGTCTTTCAACTCTCTTTTAAACGAGCGGCAATGGTTACAGTGACACACTCTGCCCGTGCACTTGCCAGCATCAACTAAAAGAGCTGTCGACATTACTTTCAAATTGGTTGCTCCCGTAAGCTTCCGCAGCTCGAATCCATAAATTCGTGGCTATCCGGGAGACGCCGCGTCGTTGGCTGGGAGACCGACGTTTCGCCTGACATATCGCAGGCTTCCTCAGGGCAGTGAGGCCGTGAGGAAGTCAGTGCCCTGAGGAAGCCTTCGAAATGTCAGGCGAAACGTTGGCCTCCCAGCCGACGACGCGGCGTCTCCCGGACAGCCAAGAGTTTATTTCATATTGGTTGTTTTACGGCGGGCTGCAAGCCGAGCGAGGAGTCAGTAGCTTTAGAAACATTGAGGTGGTTAGGATTTTCCTGTGTCAATCCCACCATACGCTGAACCTGAGGCAAGAAAAGTCTAGCACACTCCGAGGTCTTTCAACGCCGTTTTAAACTAGCGGCAATGGTTACAGTGGCGCACTCTACCCTTCCACATCCCAGCATGAACTAAAACAGACACTTGCCGGAGTTATTGAATATGCGCGTGTTCTAGGCGTGGGCTCGCGAGACACCGTTTTGAAGCCCTTTTGGAGGAAAAGAGCGGGCTGATGCCCGCGTTTCATATTTTTCAAGAACTTTTTCTCTCCTTTATAAACACTTGATACATATTACATTTATATTACTGAATGCCGTATCGGGCGACACTTTCATGATTACCGAGGTAATTGCGAGGCCACGGATTCGATTCCGGCCGAGTGCAGGATAAATTAATGGGCAAGTTTAACATGAGTTTCTGGCGCTTGCCTAATTCGAACCTGCAGGCGGCCTAATCAGTAATTTCCCCGGTCCCTTCCAGGCGTGTTCCAGCACCTCCTATACAAAAAGGTCTAGACCGCGGTGATATTGCGTCACCATTTCCTTCCCTTCTCATATACAGGCGCCAATGACCATATCAGTTAAAGCATCCTTAAATTTCAACCAAGTCAGCATCACAATTGTCTGACCAGCTACCTATAGGGTGCAGCTCAAAGAATTTGCAAGCAATTTACGATGTAATTATTTATACATCAAATTACAGCTTTTTAATTAGTGTTGTATTTAATATTTTATTTTTTGACTAATTTTTTCGAAATTGTAGTTTTATAATTGATAAATATTTAATGAAGTCTATTCGGGTGTATATTGAACTTTATCACAACTCCATGGTACAAATGGCGATTATCGTGCTCTACGTCAACGTAGAGAACTTTTAATATTCAATTATTAAAATTTGTCAGGTATGATGAAAATATACTTTATTACAGGCCATATGATACTGTTTAATGTTGAACATTATATATTTATTATTATTATTATTATTATTATTATTATTATTATTATTATTTTATATTATTATACAACTTACTTTACATAGTAGACTAGTAATTGATTAATATTAAATATATTTGTGATACACATATCAACATCTAGGAAACTAATTTATTTTTAAATTTGCTTAGGCTTTGAGGAAATTTCTTCATTAGGTACTACCTTGATTAGAATCACCAATGTTACAAAAACGAGATACATTTCTTATTAGTGTTTCTTTTATTTTTAATAATCTCGAACAATTTACTATCTTAATAGTACAAATGAGGCGAGTGCCACCGGTTTCGATCTGCTGGTAATTGAAATTAACCAAGCGTAAGCGACCTCCTGCAATGGCGCTAGTGGACTGTATTGTCTAAAATCCCTGCTCTAGAAAGTTGTTTTAACACTACAGGGAGATTAAATTACTTTCAAAGCCCCATGTGGTTAAAGAGGCATTTTAGCATCTAGCACTTTATGAAAAATTGTATTAATTACCTACCTAAATAGGATGGTTGATAGCGTTGGAGTACGAGTTAGCCTCTCAACCTTCATCCACTCTAATGTCTTAGTTTCGATGGAGTTGGAATTTACACACCGGCTCACACACGAGGTCTTATTATCGGTCCCTATCTGAATTCTACAGGTTAAATTCTTCCCTTTATTCTTCAGGTCGGTTGCTCTGATTCGCCGTTTCTGTATTTTTTGTCGAACAATACCAAACGCTGCCTTAGAAGTATCTGAAACGTGGCCGTAAGGAATCCCGCTTTCCTCATTCTATTTGGACAATTTCTCATCCCCTACGATACATTACACACGATCTATTAACACTGCGGAAGGACGATGTTCAGGGCAAAACCCGAATTGGACTGTAACATAATTTGAAGAAATAGTGAAGATATCTGCGACGGCTTGTGAACTTTATGCAAATCCTGCGTAAATTTGTGGCTATTAAACTGCATATCCCGCAATATCACGTAAATAATATTTAGGCTTTTTAGAATTGCCGAAAAAAAGGAATACCAATCCTCTGTACTTAGTCATCTACTGCAAAGAAGAGTGAAGGTTAATTTGTTTTATTTCCAAAGAAATATAGGGTTATCTACAGGAATAGTTTCTCTGTATCGCACACTCATATTTCGTTGACTATTACGAGTAATTTTCTGAATTAATTTGATTTGACTCTGATCGGGTCACGGACTTCTACATTGAGGTTAATCATTAATATTTGTGTGCGAATCTAGAAAAAACATTAAAAAAAGTAGAATTGGATAGTAGTATACACCGTGCTGTGTTGGTTTGCTGCTTTTCATTACGACGTAATAGTCACTAAATGGCGCGGTTTGCATCTTCTTCGACTCTGCATTTTTACGGTGCCAGTTTACTGTCTTTTTTTCGCTTGTTCAATTGAAAGAAATCGATTCGTTCGAATTCGATTCAATGCCCTGGCCGAGGGCAAGAGAGGGCGGAGCGTGGCGTGACGGCAGAGTCGCGTGTCGCACGATCGCCTGCCCACGGGATTTGTCAGACGAAGATGCTGCTCTTTGAGGAGTTCACGAAAGTTTTATGGCGCATTATAAAAAAACGAGCTCCGTGAAAGGGTTCCGGCAGCAGGTGGTGGCGAGCATTGTGCTCTGGATTGACAGTTATTGAAAGTAATTGGATTACGTGCGTGTTTTGGGAATATTCGTGAAATCCTTTAAGGGAAGGGATTAATAGTAGAATAGAGAATTGAGAGTGTAACCTGGTCAGAATGTTTTGTGTTTTGGATTTATGGTTTAAAAAAAAGAATCTTGAAACCCATGTTGCGTGGCTTGGAAAATAATTTCCTTGATTTAAAATAACGAAATTATAACCATGAGTGCACGATCTTAACATGCATCCGCTCAAACTTCATTCTGAATGATGACAAAATTCTTTCATTCTGAATGATAGCTATCCTTGCGTGATTCTCATACAAATATTACGATTAAACTCAGTAGAGTAGTCTGGGTTCCGGTCAGAGTAAATCAAAATGACACCGCAGAAAATTGAACTGAAATGCACGAAATATAAGCGTGCGAAGGAATTATGTGTCTACCTGCAGAGAACAATATATTTTTCGGGAATCCTTTTAGTTGTCCTTTATTTTCCTTTACAGCTAATGGCTAAGTACAGAGAATAAGTGTAAGATGATACGTACATTTTAGAGTACGAAAATGAAATTTAATATTTTTAAAGAATAATTATAATAATGTTAAACTTCTGTATAACTTTTTGGGTAAAAAACACTAATTATGATCTAAACAATTACACACACACAAAGGTGTCAGACGCAAAGACTTGACACAAAAACCACCGTGAAATTGTAGATTGTAAATTTCAGGGTGGGATTTTGCGATTAAAAAAACTGGAGGATGGTGGCGCAATTCTT